TAAAATTTTAGATGCAGAATTTTAAAGTCAGACAACCAAATCAAGGATTCACTAAATAAGTTTATAATATAAAGAAAATACCACAACGGAAGTACAGGAATAAAATACAAATGATGAGGGTTCTGTGAGGGCTTTTCTGTACAAAAGTACCAGAGCAGAGATTAAAAATCAATGTTGTTTAAATGACAACATCAGGGGCTAGCCTGGAGGCCTCCTCCAGTCTTCAGTTAATTGCACAGAGGAGAAGCCCTTGCTGACTCTGATGTCCTGTGACAGTGCGTGTGAGAGGCCAGCAGCCAAAGGGCCAATTCCATGGCAAATGAAAAGCTAGGATGATTGATCTGAACTGTGGTTGGTCATTAAAAGCATTACATTTAGAACAGAAATTCTCCCCCTCTCCCCAATCACCAATGTTTGGTGACTACACAAAGGAAGCTATTAGCTCAATTACATAGGACAGTTTTAGGTGGATATGCTGCTGCTGTTTGCTTGCCTGGTTAGCCGTTTTGGTATGTGAATGTAGGGGTGAGGAAAGATCATTACAAATATAAATAAGCCAGTTCAGCCTTTGCCACACTGTACTGACTCAAAAATATTAGTCCCTGTCTTCTCTTTGCTTTCCACACCAGTGTTGTCCCGGGGTGTTGTCTACACCAGTGTAAAATATCTTTAAGGAGATGTGTGTCCTGGGGGGAGATCTGCACCCCAGGCATTGTCAGAGGGAGTGACACAAGAATGACCCCAGGGGCACACTTTCCTTTGATTTACAGAGCATTCAGGAGCCTCTGTCTTCACAGACAGGCTGTTTAAAAGTTCAAATTTTCTAGCAATAACTTTCTAATGAAATAATTTTTCCAAGAACAGGTTTGGAATTTTTAACAGACATACCAGGAGTTAGAGGCCTCTGCATAATCTGTGAGCCCCCAGTTTGGTGAGGCAGATGGGCGAAAATTATTGATTATGATATAAGGATTTCATAGGCCAAGAAAACCCCAAAAACCTTCCATTAAACTGAAGATTTATACCGATGTTAAAAAAAAGTTTTCCTTCCACAGCTACCAAGACCTTCACCGGACTGAGTCCAGTACAGCTAGATGGTGCCCGGCTACCACCGCTGACTGCTCTGACCAGGATCACAACAGAGGG